ATTATCATTATTATTATTATTTGTAACTTACCCAACGAATTTGTCGGTAATATTGGCTGAAAAACTTTTGGCAATGTTTTCAGTTACCTTTAGTGTCACAAAGACAGTTTGCGTGACCAGAAGGACAAAAAAAGAACAAACTGAGACAACTGATGGACTGACTGAAACAGAGTGTCGGATGAGACAACTAAAATAAAATAGAGGAGGGAGAAAAACAGGGAAAATATAACCCTTGGAGGACAATGCAAATGAGAGAAAAAGAAATGAAAAAAAAACAGATGGAGGAGAAAATAGATTAAAGAAGAGCATGAAGAGAAATGGAGAGTGGAAAATAAGAAAGAAAGATAAAAGAGGCAGAGAAAAGAGGTAGATACAAGGTGAGGGACACAACAAATCATTATAGCAGACAACCTCATCCTTCACTCTCTGCTGCTGCTCTCTCTCTCTCTCTCTCTCTTTCTCTCTCACACACATCACACACACACACACACACACACACAAACACACACATATACACACCAACTATCCTCTCTAATCTAGAGTGTGAATAGATATGGCTGTTTAGTGCCAGCAGCACAGCTCCCGGTACCTGATGGCAGCAATCTGCTGAGTCAGGAGCTTCGCACTGCATGTGTGTGTCTGTGTGTGCGTACCTTTGGTAGTGTGGGTGTGTTAGTGAGAGACACAGAGGGAGTTAGAGAGAGAGTGAAAGTGTCTGTAAGATTTAGTGGAGTGCATAGATGTGTGTGCAGCCTTCCTCGGGAATGATGAGCACTGCAAATTGAGCACTCTTAACTACACACGCAAACGCACACACACACACGCACGCACACACATCCACTTCACAACACAGCCACAGGGGCAGGCTGACAAGAGTTCACTATCATTACCATGCCAGCAAGACGTCACTGGTATTACCATGACAACAAGCTCTCACTGTGATCGCCATGACAGCTGCAGGTCACGACTACTAGAACTAATAGGCTTCTTTAACATTATATGAGAAAAATACAGGTCACTATCATTTTTTTAACAACCATACTTTACTATCATCTTCATAACTAGGGTTCACCATCGTCACCATAACAACAACAACAGCTTGGAAGTCTGGCAGCCAATGTGAAACTAAAAATCCGGGTGTGTTGTTCAACTTGGAGCTTTATTTTAATGATGAAGTTAAGAAGGTTGTTCACTTGTGCTTTATTCAGCTGATAACATATCTCCTAGATAGGCTTCTTTCTAACCACTGATGACCAAAAGGAAGTTGTTAATGTATAAAATTAGTTTGTGAATTATTTTGGAGTATTGTGATTATTAGGCTTTCCCCGCCACATGTATACCATTTGTACCATTTGAAGACTAAAGGCTGCATTGATCTGTAAAACACTGTTCTTATTTAATGTCCCATGAGGGCTTTATTGTGTGATGCAAACCTCTAGTTTGTTTGCAGCTGTAAGAGTTCAGTATGACGTTTGTTTTTATATATGAATAGCTTATTGACCTGAATTTGAAAGCATACCAGGAAGTTTTGATGCCGTCCTCTGATTGGCAGTTTTTTTTTCAGGTGAGAGCCTATAGCCTATATGTATGCTGCTGTTCATCTATATCAACTTAATGTGATCAAGGTCTAAGGACTGAAACATCATCAATAAAGTGATTACGAGTGATAGATTCTTTTTTTTCTAGACTCGACAGCTCCCTGTATTCTAATCTCAACCCTCAATGTTCACTAAAAAAAGAAAAAGACAGTATCATAATATCCCACCAGCTTTTGGTGCTCTACATCGGTTCCCTGTTTGTTTTTAGATTTTATTGCAAAATTTTAAGGCCCTTCACTTTCTGGCCTCAGGTTTCATTGCTAAGCTACTGAGCCCTTTTCCCCGTATACCAGAGCTTGGCTGACCAGACCCTAACCCCCTAACCCCCTAACCCGGATGCTCAGATACAATTTTACTAGATGTACTTAAGTCAAGATTGGTGTCAAAAGGTGAGGAGTCTAACCAAGAGACATTGACCCATCAGTGCTGTGACCTTAAAAAAGAAAAACATTATAAAAGCCACAGTAATTATTTTTAATTCTACTGTTCATATAACAATTAAGATTTCTTGTTTTAATTTTCATTGAATCTGTTTAGACATTGGTCTTATTATTTACAATACAATATAAGCGGCTAAATTTGTAAATAAAATTTTATGCATTATTATTATAACAACAAATTTCCACCACTCAAATGAGCACCATGATTTCTAGGTAAATGGATAAAACTGAGTCAATCTAGGGAGATAAAAGAAAAATGTAGTTGTTAAAAGAATAAATGCTAAAAATGTATTAGATTTAACCTGGTTGTCCCACTAAGATTACAAATCTCATTTTGAGCAGATTCCTAGAAAACACAGCTCAAGCTTCATCCTTACTGTTCTCCATCACAGAGCAGCTGCATGAAATGCATCAAGGTCAGTCATCTGTGTAGAGTGGATAGGAAATCGAGCTCCATTTACGTGGATGGTGTGCGCCACAATATCTGGCTGAACTATTATTCCAGTGTTCTTTGCTGTGCAGGTGTCAAGTGTGGCCTGCTGTGCAAAAATGATGACAGGCCATTTCCAAAACTGTCCACCCACTACACTCAGTCAACAAGGGTTTGGATGTAACCGTTATGCACTTGAGCTTTCCAAATTCTACCTTTTTTTTTTTGTTTTTTGGGTGGACAGAGTGTGTGTTGGCGGCCTTGGCTACAGTGCTAGAGTGGGTGAAAGGTAACAGGTTTTTACATTGGCGTGTTTAGATGACTGGAATTAGAAACATCACCACAGACACACACTTGTGTTTTCTCTCTTTCTTACCTCCAGCAATGTCCTCCTCCAATAGTTGTATCTGTAGGTCGAAGATCTTCTCCTGGAGGTCACACAGAGTGTGTTTCATTTACTCCCTTAGTGTCACCATGTAGCACAGGTTACGCACCTGAAACACAAGACATCATTGTTACAAATAACAGGGCAGAGGCTTGACTCGGGCAGCATGTTTCGTCTTGTCTCATCTCATCGTGATTTATTGCAGGGATGAACATAAACCTGACAGTGAGGTTAACAAAGGGATACACATTATTACCAAAAGACATGTGGATACAGACATTTTGCTCAGTCGTGTTGCTAAGTCATAAACAGCTTAGCAACAAATACGACACACACGGTTAGGACACTAACAATTGTAATCAATATGTTTATATCAAAAGTGCATCCAATCTGCGAGGGGCTGCTTGTACCAACAAGTTACACCAAAGTTGATTTTAAGGCACAGTTGCTGTTTTTTTAAGTCCGCTCACCGCAACCCCATTTCTAACAGTGTCAGGCAGCTGTTTTTAGGATAAAAAATAGCGAGAAACCCGGTGTACGCTACAAACCCACCACCAAACAGCGGACACATGAAGTTAGCAAGTTGCTGGTGAAGATATTTTTGTCAGAAGTTGGTGGCCAAACAAAGTTGAAAGGAAAAACAGAGTATATACTGGGGATAAATGCAACAATATATAACATTAGAGGTTTACGTGCATTCAGTAATGAAACAGTAGAGTCAAGAGGCGACTTCCTGTTTCCTGCCAATAAACTAGATCCCAGACTCTTCCTCCACGCAGACACACAACTCCAGCTGAGCCCTCCTGCTCCTCCATACTGCAAAATTACTATCATATGGCCCAATAAGGAGTATATGAGTGTGTATGTGAGTGGATGGAGAGCTGGGAGATCAATGTGTGAGTGTGCATGTTTATGTTAAGCACATATGGATGTTCAAAGAAAAGCTGCGGTTGTAAATGTGTGTGTTTTGCAATTTTGAATTGGCAACGCATGACAGCAAAGAAGACAGAGAGAGAATAAAACAAGTAAAGAGGCTGTGAATGAGACTAATAGAAAGAAAGAAATAGATAAATAGAGAGAGGGGTAGGGAAGGAGATAACTGAAGTCTGGTCTCCTGACAGCTGTAGGTTTTAAATGCTAACAAAATCATTTTATCTACAGATAAGACAGCAGCTACAGAGAGTAACTTAGCTGAGAATATGGACAGAAAAATCCAGGTTACTGCTGCAAAAGCCAGTGGAAGCTTTTGTAACTCTGGAGTTAGGATAGCAGAGGGGAAAAGAACCAAGAGCTTCTAAAAGAGAAAGCCATGACCAGGAAGAGTGCAAGTGTGTTATGAGTCCAGATAGTCTAAGTGAAGGAGTTGGGGACTGATGTCTCAATCAGGAAAAGTGATTGTTTAGATCTCATTCAATTACAGTAACTACACAGCAAAATAATGCAAGAGGTTCTTTTATTAGTGTATGCTTAAGGCTCGGTAAGTCGAAAAGATCTAGTTCCAATAGCTCGGACCATGTTAGAAGAAGGATGTTATTATACTGTAGTGTTTCCGAATGGCCACACTGGAAGACGGGGGGGGGAGGGGGGGGGACCTCTCTAACAGAGGAGCAAGCAATCTTCCCTGGAAGCCATTCATAGAAAATAGTTGTGTAAAGAATTGAAATAACAGATTGAGAGAGAAGTTCGAACCCTGCTTAAAACTTTCTCACCTCCACACGTCGCTGTGTGAAGTGTGGGTGATTGCCAGTCATGGAGGAGCCTGTTGCCAAAAAGAATTAAAAAAAAAAGTAATTTATATTCAATTAGAAATAATTATTTTAGTTTTAAATTTTATCCAACCGGCAAGCATAGTGCCGGCAAAGGATTCTAAAAAGACAAATTTGCAAGAGCATTTGCGACTACACCATCCTGCTGAGCACACTACGCTTACACCAAGAGTAGCGGCCCCTCAACTGCAACTGGTAGTGTCCCGCTTCTCCAGCACAAAATCATTGGGGATTTTGCCCAAACTAGTAAATATGAGAAGGAGAGTCCAAGATGGGAGTTGGCTGTGTCTAAATATCTCGCAAGGGACATGATGTCTTTTCACACTGTGGAAAGGGAGTCTTTGAAGGATTTGCTCAAAACCTTTGATGAGCAATACACGCTTCCTGGAAAGAAATACCGCCACAGCAGACCTGTACATTAAAGTCAGGGCTGATGTAAGTAAAGAGCTGGAGGCAGCGGATTTTATCATACTGCCTATGGACATGTGGTCTACTACCAACATGATTCCCTATATATGAGTGTCACAACACACTATGCCACAGAAAGTTGGGAGCTGCAAGTGAAATGTCTAGAAATGACATATGTTCCAGATGACCACACAGGCATGGCGCTAGCTGAAGAACTGAGAGAGCGTGCTCAGCAATGGGGGATCACGAAGGAAAAGGTGTCTTTTGTCACCACGGATAATGGACCCGGCATAACCTTAATGTGGCAGGGAATAATGCCATGAAGAAAGAGAAAGCCAACACCGTTTGAGCCTTTGGTGTTTGCGGCTCTATTAATGGAGCATTTGCACATAGTTGGCAGAGGCTTCGGGAAGTCCGCAAGGCCCAAGAGGATTATGACCTACCACTACATTCACTGATGACGGTAATATAAATAAAATTGAACATTGAACAACATTGATCTTATTTAAACAATGCATTTCTGATAGTTTAATGTTTTAATTGCAGAACCGCAATGGCCAATATGTGACATGAAGTTTCATCATTCCATGCAAATATGCATGTGTAAACCATATTTTCCACGTTAGACATAAACATGAAGGAAGGGATGGAGATTTGGATAGACTTATACTGATCTTTCAGTGCGTCTAAATAATGAGTCGAGGCATGCTATTGCTGCGTCATTATGAAGTCCATGGACTCTTACTTGGATTCCTCAGATAAAGTAACATAAAAATAGCAGCATTAGATTAATCCATCTCTGCATTGTGACAGTGCCAGTATGAACGATTAGAGTATTAGCCTATCTAATCATTGTGTGTGTGTTTGTTTATGTAAACAATTGTGCAACTCGCTTGGGAACGAAACAGAAATAGGTACAGTGCATCCTTGCACAAGCCCCAGCCATTAAAAGGGTTTTTGCTGGCGTTTCTTTCCCAAACTTGGCCTGGCAAGATGTCAGTGTCCATAAAATGACAAAAATCGCCCAAACTATCGGCCAAAAAAAACAACCATCGATGGCTGATATACTTGTCCAATTTCCTAACCCTAAGTCATATATATTAGAGGATGGGAGTACAACCTAAGCTAATCTTACTTTAGTGGCACAGGCTAATAGAGCTAATGTGGACTGAGTGCAAGAGAAACACACACACAGCACTTACTGTACAACTTGCAGCCTCACTGTTGTGTAAATGTTTTTACAACACTATGTACACCACAGTAAACCTTTATAGCTGTTTAATGTCCTCATAGGTGCTGTTGTATGTTGGGTTCAAAGCAAACACCTATGAACTATAAACTATAAAAGACACTGGTATTTATGTACGATCAACTCAGTTTTGTATTTATGTATAAAACATAGTGGGTTTTTTGGGGGAGTTGTGAGAAGATTTTCAGTTTGTGTATAGCTGTGGATATACCGCACCTAATATATAACACACAGTCATGACAAGAAAGTAACTGGAGAGAGAGGGAGGTAGGGAGAGAAACTAATTGGGTCCAAGCCAGAGCACTTGAATCCCAAACTAACAAGCCAGAAACTGGATCTCTGCCAACTGGATTTCTCTTACAACGGTAAATCAGTAATCATGTGTCTCTAACCACGTGTGTGTGTGTGTGTGTGTGGCAGCATCATGCGTGTGTGAGGCTGAAAATCTGCCATGGTGCTAATGGGACAAGATTGACCCTGTGTGTGTGTGTGTGTGTGTGTGTGTGTCAGGAAGTGCAAGATACAGAGACAGAAAAAGGAACAAGGGCTGTGTTAGTTTGCAATTGTAATATAGAGAAAGAACTGGTTAATTTGTTTACTTAAACAGTATATGTGTGTAGGTGTGTGTGTGTATAAGTGTGTGTGTGTGTGCGTGCAGTCCAGCAGGCTGACTGTTTATCTGTTGGTCTTGATGGATTCGTCAGCCTGGCCTATCTGACCCATTCCATCCCTGTTACAGCGCTGCAGATAAAAATAGCTGCTCAACTGGGACACAATGTGCAGAGCCTGGCTTTGATTAGGACACTCTGTGTGTGCGTGTGTGCGTGTGTGTGTCTGTGTGTACCGTTTTGAAAAACAACTACCTCTGCCTGGACACATGACAGGGGGAGTGGAGGGCAAGACGGGAGGTAAGGAGGAGGAAGAGCGATGAAAGAGGAGAGTAGTTCGCTGTAAAATAACTCTGTTGAACCTCTCTGCCTTTGTTTACTTTCTTTTTTCTCTCACTCTTTCCTCCCACATTTCACTGACTACCTCTCTTTCTTTCTCCTGCAAACTATACCAAAATATCAAGGCCAGCTGTCTTAAGTAGATAGCAGGAATGCAGCCCTTCTTGGTATCTTATTTCGGCAAATCTGAATAATGAATCTAAACCAATGTTTATTTTTGAGAAATAAAATAACAGGTTGCATTGGACATATGATTAATAATACATGAATTTTTAAATGTAAAAACAGTTATTTTAGCTTGTGGAAATTTACTTTAATATTTCACCAAATATAGTAAATGAATCTTCTGTTCAGTAACAATTTTCTACTTGACTTTTTCATAAACACGTGAAACTACATTGTTTTGGATTCGGTTTGTTAAAAAACACACAATGATTACACACCAACTATCCTCTCTAATCTAGAGTGTGGATAGATATGGCTGTTTGTGCCAGCGAAGCTCCGTATAGCCTGATGGCAGCAATCTGCTGAGTCAGGAGCTTCGCCATGCATGTTGTGTCTTTGTGTGTGCGTACCTTTGGTATGTGGTGGTTAGTGAGAGGGACACAGAAGGAGTTACGGAGGAGTGAAAGTGTCTTGTAAGATTTTAGTGGAGGCATAGAATGTGTGTGCAGTCCTTCTCTGGGGAATGAGAGCACTGCAATTTGGCCTCTTAAACGTACAAACGGCAAAACCCACA